TAACCAGATATAGCTAAAAGCCCTTAAGAAATAATATTCTTATAATTACATAAGAAGTTGCAAATTTTAATTTTCTAACTTCTTTCCCTTTTCCAGTCACTTTCTCATTTTTTCCTGGTTGAGAAAGCTCTAGGAATATGAGAAAAGGCTAAAAATTGGAACCAACAGCTTCTTTAGTTGGTGGGCTCTCAGAAACTTTCAGACTTGGAAGAGCTGAAATATTTGTTTGCCATATCCCTCATGACAAAAAGCAATGCCTTCAGATACTACATCTCATTCCAGAAATACAGACAAAATGTAGAGTCTTAAAAAACTTTGTGTGAGGGTGGTGGCAGGGTGTTGATATGCATAAATATATTAGAAAAGTTTCCTCCATTTCACCCTTGGAGGTTTCTCTCACTCCCACTTCACTATTTAGAGTTTATTCATCTTCCCCAATTTTTCTAGTATTGAGCAAAAGACAGGATTTATTTAATATTTTTATATACACTTTGGTTGTGTCCACATTAACAGACTCATTTGGCTGACTTTGGCAATTAATTTATTTCTTTTTGTCTAGATACTGCCCACAATTGTATAGATAGCCTTTTTCACTGTTGTTTTATCATCATAGTAGTATCACACAGGCTGCCATCATTTCAGCTAACGCAGTTTCCACTGAGCAGCTGTCTGTCCACTCTTCCACGACAGGTTGTAATGAGAATGAGGCAGACCACTTGGATCGGGACCAGCAACCGTATCCACCCTCGCAGAAGACCAAGCGCATGCGAACCTCCTTCAAGCACCACCAGCTTCGGACCATGAAATCCTACTTTGCCATCAACCATAACCCAGATGCCAAGGACCTCAAGCAGCTTGCCCAGAAAACAGGCCTGACCAAAAGAGTTTTACAGGTAAGACACCTCCATCATTGGCTGTGCATACATCTCCCTTCCTCTTACCAGTAAAAATAGTTCTCTTCCTTGATTAAAGTGATTCAGATACGTCCTATACTGCTTCTTATTAGTTTATCTTAGTTCTCTCCCTGAAGGGACTTCCTGGAGGGTGCTCATAGAGAGACTTGGGTCTGTCTAACTGCAGCAACATTCTCCCTGCAGATGGGGAGATGGGTCCTCCAAACCAGCACAGCTCGCCTCACTGCTGTGCAAATGCGAGTGATGTTATTTAAACAAGTCATGGCTCTAGACATTTCCATTCACATTAGGCTCAGTGCACAGACTTGTGAGGGCCCTGCTGGCACTGTCTTACTTCAGCAAACTCTTGACAGCCTCACTCACATGCTCTGACCTTCCAAATTCACGTGGACCCTTCTTCCCAACTCCTGAAAAGCCAAAAATATGGTTAGTGTCCCGGCAACTAATTGGAGCAAGTATTTTCCCATCTTAACAAACCATAGTTAAGAACTAAACACGGGGAGTTAGTTGTGCTGTCCAATTGCTTCCCTAAACTCATCATGGTAAGAATATGCAACTAATAAGATTATAATAGGTCGCTGTGAGTCATCTGTGATCCTCTCCCACTTCTCAGAGAGAGCAGTTATTCTTAATTTCACTAAAGTCTCAGGCTGATTGGGGTCTGTGGCACTGGGAGAGTTTTCCTATGTGAAGAATACACACCTCGTGTCAGACTCGTGACTAGCTTGAAGTCTGTTTTAATGATGTGCATTTCTCTGAGCAATCCTTACTTTGCCATGCTTTCAGTGGCCCTGCTTCCCCCCTTCTCAGAAGACAACAGTTGAGGGATCGGGGTGCATTTTGCCCGCTTTATCTCTGTGCCTTCATTTCCACGGTGTCCCCCCTTAGCATGAGTTGTCCCAAGTGCCACTTGATCATGCTTGGGGGGGAATATGTGCAGTTCAGAGAGAATAAACCTATAGTACTACTTACATCACCCCGTTTTGAAAGAAAGAAAGAAAAAGAAAGAAAGAAAGAAAGAAAGAAAGAAAGAAAGAAAGAAAGAAAGAAAGAAAGAAAGAAAGAAA